ATGAGTGCACTAGGCGCCAGGACACCTTAAGTGCCAAGTCTAGGATTGTTTTTCTAATAAGGTCATCAGACCTATGGCTCTATGTCTTGGACACTCGGGTGAACAGAGATGTTGAACCGTTAATAGATCACCACATGTAGTGAGGTTGGGCTGGGAATGTCTGGTGGAGGGCCCTTTCTGGGATATCTTCACTGTGAACACTGAGTCCACGTGGAGCATATTCCACTTTCCTGTCTGTCTTTACTGCTCCACTATCTAATAAAGGTAAAATGCCATAAATCTGTCTTTAAAAACAAATAAATAAAAGAGCAGCATCAGGGAAGAAGTAGGACAACTGATCCACTACTGTAGCTGAGGTCACAGGGTTAAAAAAGTTCCACCCTTGGGAGGTGGATGAAAATTCCCCATGTCTTTATTGTTGTAGGGCTGTCTTCATTAAACTGGGATAGTGTTTTCCCTCTTTAACAAGGGAGCTCTCTGGGAAGGTTAGTGTCATCAGTCCACCCTTTAGTCAAACCTCAGATTGAAGAGGAACAGTGTAGCTTTCATTCTAGTTGTGGTTCAGGTGGATCAACTCTTTATTGTCTCAAGAATAATAAAGATTGTGTGAGTTTTTGTCCAATCTCACACAACCTTCTCTTTTAGAACAGCTTAAATTATGCTCTCCAATGGCCAGGCCACTTGGGCATGGGAATTGCTCCAAGTCTGGATACTTCTGGGTTTTCTTGGTTGACCTGCAATATCATGTGGAAGTGAACAGTAATTTTGAATTGGCAAACTAGGGTGAAAGTCCTCAGTAAGTTTTTGAAAAGGGGACTCTCTGGGAAGCTTTGTCCCAGCTCTATATAGTTTTTGTCCTGTCCTACAAATCAGCATATGTTCTGTAGTCACAAAGGAGTCATTCATTGCTTTCCTTGATGTGTCCTTTGGAGGTTTGCCTCAGGAATATGGTGTATTAGGCCAAAGGTTACAGGCCATTTAGTCCCAGTAAAACTATAGAAAGAGATTGGTTCACATTGTAAGTGGACTGGACTCCACCAGTACTGAGCTTCTGTTCAGAATTTTTATGGATGGGTGGGTGGTGTAAGGTCAAAATCAGTTGATTTGTGGGCATTACCATCTCATTTCTGATTTTTTTAGATAATGTAGTGTAAGTTTAAGGTGATCAGAGTGATAATCTCCAGGTTGTACTGGCCAAGTGTGAAACAACTGTGGACAACAATTAGCACCAAGTCTATGACCATGATTCTCAGTCGCAAAAGTTAAAAGTACCCATTTCAGGTTGGGGATGAGCTGCTGCCCTTTGCTCATGCTTGAGGGTAGTGATGTGACGTTCTGTATCGAGGCTTCGGAGCGTGTGTCGAGTAAT